GCTAACGTGTATAATGATGGATGTTAATGATGATGTTCTTCTTTGGAATCATAAAGGAGATTTAATGTATAAAATTATGTTGTCGAATTTTCCGCTTTGCGCCGAAAATGTACTTATGGTGGACGATTAATTGCAACCAAATGGACTTATAACAATTGTCATGCAAATATCTCTGCTAAATCATCATTTAACATTCCATTTTGTTGGCACGCTCATTATGCAAGTTTTCTTCCTTCATTACGGCCATCTTACGGGACATGTCAAGCGTTATCTATTTGACTCGTTAGGTACCATTGTACTGCCATATGTGTTTGTGGACAACGTGTTCACAGGCCGTTAGCTAAGAAATTGTGTGTTATCCACCTCGCGGAATTATGGGCTTTACAGGTACAACTATCGTAGGAAGGGATCATCAAGTCGGTGTACTGCATCCACCATGCCAGTAAGCGACGCTTGCTGTAACAAAGCAGTGCCTGCTCGTCATGTAACAAAATTGCGGCACTCGTATTTCAACATTAACCCTCTCAGCAGACCGTCACTCTATAACCCAAGACGGCCACCATCCAACCTGTATTCCGACTGTGCAGGCTCCTTTTGTCGCTTTATTTGCAAGCCTGTCATAAGGCTTTGGCCCCACCGTCCCCAATCATTCGCATCCATGCACCTGCTATCCGGATACAGTGTTGTCGAATGCCCGAGCGTTGGTAAGTCGTCCAAAACCTTGGGCTTCGCCAGTGCCAAACTAGCCATAAGACGACTGATGAAATGGCGCATTACCATGTTCGCAGCCCGCCTCCCCCACTGGTGCCGTTCGCAAGGCATAACTGATAGTCCACTAACTCCCAATGAACCCTCCACCCAGTCGCACCACGTGTTTGGACGACCTTGTGCCCCTAAGCTGCGTGCAACTAGCTTCAGTGTAGACACTCGTTGCCGAATGGAGACTAGAACGCCCACGCGTCTCCACCATATACCACTAACGCATACATCTACGCAAGGGTTATTCTATCTAACGTCCATGCATGATTTCGACCAACTGAATTCAAAGGACACTGCGTGCGCATAGTGCGGCGGATAGATACCGGATCCAGTTCAAATGCGTTAAAGACGACGTCCAATTGGCTTGTGGATGCAAATCAAAGTGTTATGGAACAATCCAATTGCACGTTGGATTCAATGAAGCGGGAAAAAGTGTACATAGACTGACGCGTAGGGCTGTACTGTCAGGCATGTGCTTTGCAGCTTCAAAGTGCAAAAGTATTGTCGCATGACTATAAGGATACTTCATCGGCTTTAGCTATCAGTGAACAACTACTGGAAGTTGTGGATATGTTCTCTTAGCCAGGCACCTGTCACCTCCGGTGGCCACACCACTGAGGAAGTTACTCGCCAATCAGCAAAGTCCCGTGCCATTTTAGAGGATATCAGCCAGTCTGTGAAATATATGATATATAATGCTGCAAAAAGTCCGATGTTACTATATGAATCAGCGGTCTGACAAGTTCGCGGCGAAGGCATTGAACGCTTGGCCGTGGTTCATCACCGGTGCCTGCGGAATATTGCTCAAACCCAATGGAAACACCAGTTGAGCAACGCCGATGTTCGCCAGTTAATTTTTGGCATGAAGATTTCTGGTGCCTCACCGGAATTTTCGCAGAATCCCCGTCGTTTAAGACTGCTCCATATGTCTGTTGGTCGGCTTCCTCGAAGTGCATTATACGCCGTGGCTGAGCACAGTTGGGCGAAACCGCGGGGTGATCAATCGATGACGCGGCATAAAGAAGCTCACAGAGATCTGGTCAGGCTAATGCGTGCTGTCTTTGTGGATGGGGGCCTGTGGTCGGAGACTATCGGACATGGGGTAGTCAGTGGCGTTCCAGTATTCGGCTTCTTTCATCAAGCCGTAATGTTTCATCGCACCCCGATTAGTCCAACGCACTCCTCTCTTGATTTTCATTTCCTTCGTATTCTAGTTGCGTTTAACCCCATGTTCTTGTCGTTATTGTTACTCTAGCAACACGAGTCGTGACAACTGGATGTACTGCACTGCGGTGCTGGATCAAAGTTGTTCTACTAAAGGAAGCCGGTGGGTTATCTGGTGCACAAGTCTCCTATCGGAGAGATTGCATACCGAGTAGAACGATGGAGTAATTGAATGCGTATACCATTCGAAACCTGGAAATCCGATACTCCAGCAGCTTGAACTTCTCTGAACACATCTTGCATCAAGTCGCGAAAACGAAGTAATTTACGAGCCATTTCACTAAGTGATTTTTACTATCCCATCCATAATCTGAATCATTCAAACTCATAGTGCGACCCATTCTAGAGTACTGCACCATCATACATAACAACTGACGTTAAACAGATAGAATTGTTTTGGAAAACATCCAGCACTCCTTTGCGAAAACATTCATAGGGAGCTTATCAACGCTTAAGTGATCTTATCTCCAGCTCGACCCAATCTGGCTTCAACGGCTGAAAAGTAATCTCTTTTCTCCACTGTATGAAACACTCACAAGTCTTCTCAACCAGTATGACAGTCGCTATACAAAATGACTCAACATATCCCGATCACATTGGGAAATGTCTTACAGAGGACCAAGCAAAATTCTTCTTGGTGAGGTAAGCCTATCTGGGGAATAAACTCGCCGTAATCAAGGACCAGTGACAGCCTGTTTATATCTAGATCACATATAACAATTTTCTTCTCAAGCCAAATGTGATCAAGCTGTTCGATCAGCAGCAATCCACGAGTGCACTCACGGAATCTAGGTCGAAAAACATATGACAATACAAACTTTCAAAAAAATGTTATTTATTACGCATCAAACACAAAACATAGCATCACTGTCCGATATTGAATGCAAGTTCATAAATGAAATGTTGACGAAACACGCCGTACAAAAAACGATCGTTCTACAAAATGGGACGTATCCCGCCCATCGGAAAATATACTCATTTATTTATGTACGTAATTAAAAGCGGTTACATACGCTTCCTAGGGTGATCAGATGTCAACACGACCAACCAGCTTTATCGAGTACATCCAGAAATTGGGTAGTGCCTATTAAAGCAGCCACTCACATAGAATAATGTTCCAGTCCAGAGTGGAGCTGGAAAAATAGTGCACTCAGTGCTATCGTTGAACTCTTCAGCCGGTGGTGATGATGGTCCATGTGAAGTGACAGGTGATGCGGAATCGATGTAACCAGTATGAGTATCATGCAAAGACTGACATGACAACTTGGGTCTGTGAGAGAATAACACAGCTATTGTGTATCTCTCTGACCACTCTATGAGGTCAAATGTCCTGCAAATTCAGGTCATGCATAAACACATGACCATGAGAGATAACATACGAAACACAATCAAACCATAGAACACAGTTCACCTGTGCAACAATGGGACCAGGGACCCGTTTTCGCATTAGTTGCTCTCAGTTCGTATCGTGCCGTATGAGATCGAGCTCTTTCGCTACGAATGTTCGGCACTCACTATATAGGTAGCGCACCTGGATGGACTGACATTAGGATAGCGCAACCATTCAGATGAAAGAAGGCCAGAGATAAGTGATAGCGGGGTTTGTTTCGTCTCCTGTGAGAGCGTCTGTTGATTCAGTAGTTGCCACGGAAATGGCAACGAACACTCATAACAACCTAAGCAGATCACCGGCTGATGTCAGACAGCCGGGTAGGGCTGCATTGCCACAACTCACAATAAGTGGCTGGTTAAGTGCGTGCGACGTATAATTGTGTTTTAGTGAATAAGGAATAGGCCACTGGGAGACGATGATCTAAACAGAGAAAAAATTGTTTAAGTTCCATGCTGCACGTGCATGATGCGAATAAAAGTCGAAACTATAGTATCTTTCACTGTTAATCCCTTTTGCAAACTGGTACATAAACGAAAAGGAGACCTTTGAGAAAGGACTGCGACCCTGTTGGTGCATCCATTCAGCCTCACAAGCATGCGCTTTGGTTAGGACAAAAAAGGCACTTCGTGAACAGTGATCATTGAGAAGGGAATCTCCTAGGTTGGTCAAACCGATTATAAAAACAAATGAAGGTGTTAGAGATATTTGTAACCAAGCCAACAATCATGGAAAGTGATTGATGTACGAGTGGTCAATCCGCAAGGCGAATCTAGGGTGTTCAATAAATGTACAGCGGAGGCTCGTGACAAACTGAAATTCGTCAATTATCAACCGGGAGAGAGCTGCGCTCTCCGCTGGGCACGTACACCACGACATCAGTTTACACATCGAAAACAGATAATGTGTATGAAATCGCGTGTTACGTCATGCGGCACCATATGCGTCCCACCGGAATCGTTTCGGTTTGTGGGATGAAGTTCTCCAGATAAACCTGACCATAACTAGTGAGTATTTGGTAGGATGAATGCCAAGTGTATGAAAAATAAACGGAGATAAAGGTGCTACGGCATCGTGACTGGCTTTATCTATCCTGCAACCATAGATGGACGTCTTCCAATACACAGCAACACGATAGTAGACCACTTGTGTGTGACGATGAGCATAAATCCCATGAATAAAGGTCGGTAGCTCACCATCGCCCAAACTTCATCGCACGCGCTAGCAAATGTATAAGGGATGTCTTATAACACCAGTGGTGTGTGTGAAGCCCGAAAGCTTCCCGAATATTATGAGGGGACACCTTGAAGATGATAAATGAAGCAGAATACCTTTGTACATAAAATCTAAACACCAACTGGTGAAAATCGTGTGGAAGGAATCGATGGTAACTGTAGATGCACATTGAAGCATGGACTGGGATATGTGCATCAGAAACAGTGTGAAAACAAATACCGGAGAACCGGGGAGAGGACAGAACGGACCCACGTGTTACAGGGGCGGTTGCATGAAAATGAACGGAAGAAACTCAGGCGCTATCAGAACTGTGCTGGTGGAATGAGAATGAATCAAAATACGGGAGGGGGGATACTCTCTCTCCAGGATGTAGTGGATTAGCTTTGACCACCTAATGGCAACATGTCGGAGACCTCAATAGCAGCGGCCGCTGTCTCGAGAATAAAAAGTAGCCCACGGTAAAACCAAGCATCACCGCGATCAACATATACACGTTGTACGTCATCGCTGTCAACATTAGCATGTAGCCAAAGAACATTTGGACCAAGTGCAGGGCAGTCTGCGCCAGATGGAATGGATCACAAAACCTAGAGTGAAACGGAAAAAAGTGGTGTAAATGCAGAGTAGGCACAAAACGTTATCTGTACGGCAAATTCAGCGATTCGATAGACACAACCCAAGGAGTGGGGTGTAAAATACTGGAAATGCACATGAGTACTGATGAAAAATGGGATAAATCACAAATATGGACGAAGACGTGACATGTCAGATAGTCAGCAGACGTCGAGGACTGCAAGACAATCGATCCAGGTGCTTTTAAGCAAAAAAGTTGATGTAGACTATCATGTGATGGGTGAGCGGCAGAAAGAAATTGCAATTTTGTGATGCGCCACGAACGACCCTGGAGATTTAATACCAGTGCGTGAGGCTTTGAAAAACCATGTGTTGCGCATGCCAATCCACCGACTCTCGCGATTATTTAAGTTATAAGCTATGGATTACATCAGGGTGTCTATCTTTGAGACCGGACTGCGATACATCCAACGACTTGTCGTTGCTCCACTGTTCCGGAAACTTAGAATTTCCTTTGATCCTTATGTACAATGAATTCAATTCAATAGGAGTACCGCTGTCAGAAATAGGAGAACCCGTTTTATCTGTTCCTCGCTCTGAAGGCGTTTCAGTAGAACGAAGAAGGATGGTACTCGAGCTAGTTGGCAATGCGGATGAATTGTCGAGGTCTAAGTCGATGCACCGAGCATCCACGTTAGAGGCAATCATCTCTTGGAAGTTTGACTTGGATTTCGCGGTGAGTCTAGTCATCTTATCCGGCGTTCGCGACACAGTGCCAATTGAGGACCTCTGTAGGGGTGTTCCATCCGGTTTAACCAAAATGCCATTAAGCTGGGTGTGCAGGGCTAAGACGGGTCCACAATGGAGGAAGCGCTGCGCGGCTTACTCGTTAAAAAGTGTTATGATGATCATGAAACAAGGTTTCGGTGTTTGCTTTCTCAGAAATTAATAGTTGCACCCGATAGCAGATGTTAAAAGTTCTCAGTATGGGTAATTTTATTTTATCCAGACCCAATCTGTCGGGAACGTAAAAAACAATCACATATTTTATTCCGCACAATCGTTCGCGCACTTTAGAGACAAAAGAGGCAATTAGCTGTCCTGCTTTTTCCACCAAAACAGTAGTCTTTTTCAGTGGGTCAATGATGTAAGCAAAACAAATCAGGTGATCTTTGGAGGGGCACAAAAATTGGTAGCGTTTTCTATCACATCAAGTTGTGATTCCAAACGCAGCAATTTACCATTTAGTTATTAAGTGAGCTTGTTGTTTGGAGAGGAACATATTCGTCTTTTTCTTGGGCCTAGCATTTCACTCGCTTCGCTGTTGGCATGGAAAGTATACTACGGGACCGTGAACCACAACAGTCGGTGGTAAGCAGGCGACTGGGAGGTTGCCGTATCGGACAACATGCAACTAAGCCTTGGTGAAGAAAAGCGAAGATTACATTGGGATATAAGAGCTGTTAACGTGGAGAAAAACGTTATCGGTTGTAACGCTGACATGGTTTTACATGAGTATCATGATAGTTTGAATGCACCATAAAGTGCGTTGGCAGATTCAGTCGCTGTCATGGCTGTCGACGATACCGATGCTTTCTGTGCTGTCTTCCTGCAGGGTGTGTACCGCACCTTTGAGAATCTCGAAAGTGACTTGAAGCGTTTCCAAATGCGAAATGCATCATGTTTTTTTCAAACCAAATGTCATGACATCTGAGGCGAATCGGGAGAGAAGCGGTAAAGAGTTGCCAAAGGGTGTGCGTTACAGATCGGTACACTATAGATGCGTTCATTGACGGTGAACAGGGTAGACATGCAAGCGGTAAGTTGACATGTAACTTTCATGTAACGCGCATGAACTGTAGGTACAAAAGCTATGACTGCAAGGCCAATATTCCCATACGGCATAACGGCTGGTGCTACGACATAGTATCCTTCAGCGTTGTGCACAGTCATACCTTTCATGTGGGCAAGCCGTTTCTCTATGTGAGCAATAGGCGGCTCCCGCGGCACGCGGAAGAGGACGTCTATCGTATGATGCAGTCGTTTAAGGACGCACGCGAGCTCAGGAAGTATGCGTTCAGCACTACGGTAGACGATTGAACGGTTACGACCTCCGGACCATAAGACATAAGATGAGGGGGAAGGTGGACGGGAACTCAGTGGAAGCAGTCGTACAGTTGCTGGAGAGCGTCGGTGAGTGAAACGTCGAGTATGAGGAATCGGAGATGCGGCTCCTATTTTTCGTTCCAAGGTACATACTTGACCTCATGGAGCTTTAGAGTGAGGTTGTAGTGGAAAGGCCAAACCGAAAGGGCTTAACTACATGAAGAACTCCCAGTATATAAAGTAAGAATGCTGGACCAGACCTTCGGTAAAGCACGATCCCCAATAGCCGTCAGTTAGTCGCACAATCCGGTCGGAAGACGAAACTTATTCAGCACAATAATTAGACGCGGTAGATCCGATGATCGATGAACGAGGCTAGCAGACCGACGACGATCAACAGCACAACACGTGTAGCCGAAACCAGAAGGCGAATCGAAACCCGAAAAAGTCCTTTATCGGTTGTTGGTCAATTAAAACAAGACTGTACAATAACAATGGAAATGAGAATAGGTAGGTACAGTTGGGAAGAGAGATATGTACAGTCGCTACAAGGTAAGGCTGGCGGATGCTACACACCAGATAAACAGCGGTGGTTACATACTGTGGCACTGAATGTTGGTATTTGTACATGGTATAGGACCGTGACCGACTTGTCTAATGGTAGTTGTCAAGTGCAAGGTTACCGTAGGCAATACATCGTGTCAATGCGTGGGAGTGTAACTTGCCAATGTAGCTTTAGTCGGCAATGCATGCACGCGGCAGGCCGACCGGTGGACGAGATAATGCGCAACAGCCGCCGGGCTGTGTCGCACGCGCAACATTGAGGGTAACCGTATCCACGTCGTCCCGCTGCCGTCCACTTCCACAGTGGCTCCAGTAACTAGGGAGCAGAAGCTTCGCGAGTGCAGTCAGGTTCTTGGTGATATTCAGGTGCAGGTTTGTGGCCTTGGCGATGCAAAGTATAGGGAGGTGATGGATCAGTTGCAGGAATTTCTACACAACCTAACTAGTTCTTCCGATGGTGTTGAGATTTCCACCTCCGAAACCATAAACGAATCAGCAGCAGAAGGGATGGATGAACAGACCAGGGAAGGCACAAGACGTAAGCAACGCCTAGTGCCCATTCCAGATGTGTCCGTCGGTCAGGAGGAAGAAGGGAATTCACTTCATTTTAGACATTTGCACACCACCACCACCAGGGCGTATAACCATCCAAGGAGGCGTTGTTGCCATGCGCAACTCCCAGCCAATTACGATAATGACAAGTGCGCTTTGTGCCTTCAAGCACACTGCGAGGCAGAGTGCACAGGTGGTTGACTGGTTCATGTGCTTCCACTGCTGCCTTTGGTATCCACAGCTGTGCGCGTCGCACAATGGACAGGAGCATTTTACCAGTGATCAGTGCTTGCAAGTCCCCTTTTTCATGCTTTTTTCGTTGCGTTATTACCCCGCGTCTGCTTTCGCTTGATTGTTAGGTACACCCACTACTCCCATGTGCGGTGCCTCCCATATATGACGGTTAAATCACGTATGCCTACCTCATAATCGGGATCACACATGATGGGTGTGGTCAGGTATACTTAAGGACATCAAAAGCACCGGCAATTCTGTCGCTTTGTGATGATACACATTCTCTCCTAGGTTCATTTATTACAACTCAATCTTCCAGCCTACTTGAAAAACCATTGTGCATTGCCAAGCACCAGGATAAAAGGTATAGGTATAGGTATGTACTACATGCATTTCTTGCGCTCGCACTGCATTTGTGACGTCATCTTACTTCCCAGCTGCTTAGTGATCCGCTGCGTGGGGATGAGTGTGTATGACCTCGCCTACACGTGCGTGAGCATTTCGCCTGGGACTGAACAGCTCATGGTTTCCACAATCTTTCGTACCGCTTCTAGATACTCTTGCTTCAACGACCACCCTAGCCGTTTGCGCATAACTAATGTTACCTTGATCTCTAGTAAAACTATCCCTTTGGCTCACACAAGGATCGCTCCGTCGGTCACCGTTTTATGGCCTTTACTTTTCTCCATTTCTGTCAGTTAGTTATCACAGCAGCTGTAAGTGGCATCCTCATTGTTAGAAGGAAGCTGCTGGTGCAGCGTTAGGTAAGACTTGTTCCGTTCTCCGCTCCTTCCGTGTCCTAACGGACCATATGTTTGGGATGCCATATACAGCTTCTGCGCGACCACACCCAGCACACTGTGTGGAAGCTTGTATACCGTGTCTCTCTGGGGGTTTACGAGGTGCAACGTATCAACAACGTTACGGTGGCATCCTGCTCACATACCGTATGGTAACCCGTAACATCGGCTAACCCTTCCCGTAGTTACGCAGTCAAGACAGATAGTGTCCGAGGCACCCATTGCTGCTGGAAAAGTACTTTCTCACTGGGTAAGAACGGATACTCCCTTATCGCACCAGGTTCTTGGGCGTTGCACATCGCTTCCGGTGCATGCCGTTAGGGAATGCAAGGGTGAGGGTTGTCAGCGTCTCTTACATACCTTTGCAGTTAGCAGTTGCAGTATTCATGAACACTAATGGCCGATTTCCACAGCAATCAATCGATCTTAGCCGTCAAAATACGATAAGTGAGAATGATGTCCCCTGTTATCCTGATGTAGTGCATGCAGTACATCCCCAAACTGAGAAAGTGTTCAGGATACCTTTGTCCCCGTAGACCCTCCAATAACCGAGTGCCCACTCGTAACACCCACTCCAAGTCCAGTTTGTGTCGAATAAGGCATGGTGGACAAGCCTGGATACAAGAGTCCACGTTGGGTCAGACAAACGCCGAGAATAACTTCACAAACGGATTGGCCGTTACGATTCCGGAAGGGCGGCGGATAAACAACATTGCACGAAGCCCCAGGATAAGCAGCCTTCTTCCAATCGTTGCCAG